GCCAGCGGTGGACCCACAAGGGGGGGTGGATGATGCAGCGCATCCCACATCGGGTTTGAAAGGAAACGAAGCAGGCCTTATATGAGGATGTGGATACCTTCACATGAGGATGTGGATACCTTCACTAGTAAGACGCGTTTTGGTGGGTGTGTATTGAAGCCCAGCCAAGAACAAAGCCGTGCGGGTGGCGGAAGTAGCCCAAAGCGGACAATATCTTACTAGGGCCTGCATTATTTTGTAATCTATACATACATACATATATCTATATGGTGTATTATTTAATTAATTAGTACAACGCCCGTGTATTACACGGTTGCTTGCTAATTTTTTATTAAAATCTAAAATTAATGAGTAAAAGTATATGAAAATTTCAATACCTTTTTATAAAAATATATGTATTATTGTATATTTAGTATGCCACTTTTTATTTGTGCGACTTACTTGTGTTATATTATAATATTTTTTTGGCTTACAACATATAACTACATTAAACATAAGTATATCAATTGAGAAATTTTTCTAATGAATTTTAATAAATATTATTATTTTTTATATTATAAAGATAAATATAATTTATTTATTTAATATATACAATATGAATGTCAAATCGAAGGTCATCAAAAGATAATTAATTTGATATATTATATATGTAAAATCGATAAGAAATACAAAAGTTATCAACTTTTAAAATACATTTACAATTCATAGTAATGCTCCTCTACCCACGGTGGGCACATGTTAATATATGTCCACCACCTATGTGGCATGCACACATTAGTGATGTATTTTTTTAAAAAAAAAATTAACATCACCAATGTGTAAGCGGTAGACATATTAGCATGTGTCCACCGTGGCATTATTGTTACAATTCAGTAGCTAATTGAAGGAAAAAAATTAAAAGTCAGGGATATATTAGTCACTTATTGTCTCACTATGTAAAATAATAAAAAAGTAAAGGGTTGTATTAGTAAAAGTTATATTAAAATACCTAAGTTAGCTAGATAATATTTATGGAATGTCCGAACCTAGATTATTAATTATGAATATATCAATATTATTTGTCCAAACCTAATTACGAAGCATGATTCTTTGACAAGTAGGATTTCGAAGTATCAGAAACAGCCACGTAGATTCAGCGGAATAATATATAGAAAGGATTAATTAATTAATTGGCGGGCAAAAATAAAATCTTAACCATCATCTATATATGTATGTATGTAATACACACTCTTTTTCAGACAGTGACACAACTTTTGTATTTACCACATTGAAAAAAAAAATCTAAAAAATAAAAGAAAAAATCTGTACCTTCCTTTATATTTACCACATTAATTAATTAATAATTACTTTCGTTGATTGGCATTGGCAGCACCTTTTACATCATGACTGCATTTACTTTGATCTCTTCTTTTCAAAGTGAATATAAAGCCTACCAAGACTCCAACCAATACTATACTAACAGCTAGCCAAAATTGTAGCGCTGAATTTGCTCTATTTATAGGGAAATGCTACCATCCGTTACGGTACCATCCAGTCGGGTGTTTTAACCGTTGGATCATTGATCTTATCTAACTACATGTAGATCTAACGGTTAAAACAACCGACGGGATGGTACCGTAATGAGACCGTAGTATCTCCCCTATTTATATATGCAAGTTGATCACTGTCGCATAAATAACTATAAACACACATTTACACTTCCATCGTAACTCTAGTAACTAGTGCAGACTCTTGCGATGCACAAGCTATATAATTTTTTAGAAGAATATAATATGACATGCATTAGGATCGAAATTTATATATAGAATGGATCAATTTTATTGTCATAATTGACATGATTTTGAACGGGAAATTTTTCTGTCTATATTTGTCATTTAATTAATATTTATCTATTAGTAACTCTTGTGAATGAAAAACATAGTTAATTTTTATACACTCAATGACTATTACTCATTAACTAGAATGAGCTTAAATTGAAATTTTGACCATTGATTTATTAGATATATTTTCAATAAGATTTTATATTAATTCAATAGTAATTTATTGACACAATTCAAAAAAAAAAAATATTATGGAAATTGATTTGATCAATATATTATCATTTATGGTTGTAGGTATTAATTTAATTAATTATAATCATTTACTCACTATTTAAAAGTACTTAAAATATTTAATCAAATAATCTATTTAACTATGTTTAAATTATACTTACTTAATAAATAATTTAAAATATTAATAAATGTTTCTGAAATTTAGTCAATTTAACTATAAAAAGGTACATCATCATTTAATATATCATATGCAGTGACAATACTATTGAAAACTTAATAATATACTAATGAAAATAAAATTTTATGATCGGGTGCAATTCAGAATTATAAATTTCACCTTAGAAGTATCTATGTGCAATGAAAAACTATTTAATTTTTAAAAATATATTTTTTTTCTTATATACTATTTTATAAATGAAAAGTAAGTTAATAAACTAGCAATGCATAATAATTTAGATTATAACACTTGGTAATTGTAAAAATATATAATATATTTAAATATCCGATTAGATACTATGTAACTCGTTGTATAGGTTGAAAAATGAATTAAGGAAATAAATAGAAATAAAAAATGAATACATAAAAATAAAATATTTAACCATTAAATATATTTGTGGTGCATAAGGATTGAAGTTACTGAAATTAAAATTTTATCTATAAAAGTTTTTAACATTTAATGCACTTAATAATTATAGCGGAATGGGTTAAACGTTGGTCAATTATCATGCAATGTGAAAATTATAAATTGTTGAAAAATATTTAAGACTATGATAAACGACAACTTTATACTCACATACAAGTAGTTTGTATGCAAATATTATATAATCTTATACATTTACAATATTTTATAAACTTATAAATAATAAAATTTATATACTAAATAGTAAAAAATATAAAAAAATATATATACACATATAAATAGAAATTAACGATAATACTAAACAAATAGATAAAATATTATTACTGGATAGAATATTGTGGAGAATATAAATTTCATACTATTGTCTTAAATAATTTTATAATATTTAAATAAAAAATATTTTTTGAAATGTATCCCGTGCATCCCACTGGTATCAACACTAGTAATTATAATACATAGGAACATTATTGGAAAAAATAATTGTTTTGTTACGAAACAATCACATATTATTAAAAACCTCCTTGTACACCACATTATGAATTTGAATATAGGGTAATTCGTCATTACCGAAAGCACCAAGCTTTGGGGGAAATTATCCTAATTTCTTTTCATTTTGGCTAGGAAAAAAAAAAGATCAGTTGTTGCTACTATGGATAAGCATTTTTTTTTACGTGGAGATAGGATATTCCGTTTATTCTTTTTTTTTTTACATGTATAGATTAAGTTTAAATGAAACAATATTTCACACGTGCATATCTATACAAATTTATGTTCATTGATGCTATTCAAATTTTGAATTTGATTACACGGAGTTTTTGTTGATAACAACCGATTTAAAAAATTTACACGCACTCGACGCGATTTCATATTCTGAAACCGATGCATTATGACATCATTGCGAATGCTATTAAATACATATTTCTCAATATAAACAACTATCATTCATCCATTGATCTTCATTCTATTGCGGAGCGGATTCTTCACGAGATTCATAGCCGAAAACACCCTTTCCACTGAAGTTGTAGCAACCGGAAGAACTAAAGCCAAAGTTAGAAGCTTGTAGCAACATACTTATTCTAATAACCCAAACTTATGAGTTAACATCTTTCCAATCCATAAACCAAATCTTCAACAATAACCCATATAATTTTTTCAAAGCTTTCAACAAAAAATCTTAGGC